CGCGGCCCCCCGCGCCGGCCTACCACCCGCCGCCCACCACCCCCCCCCCCCCCCCCCCCCCCCGCACTGCCTTAGCCTTCATGACTGCTGATTGCATGATTGCTAACTGTGGTCAAAGTGCTCAATATAACTTTCCCTTGTTCACCTGTGACCCGACTATCCTGAGCTTGCACGCCTTTCTGAACCCGTTAGGAGTTGAAAGGTCCTGGTGGGGTCATGTTAGGTCAAAGTGGAGACTGTTAAACATGTCACTGAAGAAACTGAACTCAGCCTTGACTTTGTGGCCTAAGAGAGACACTTGGCCATGTCAATCACTGCGCGCTGGGGGCAATTCACTTGAAAAGCGAAGCAAAAAGGAACAAAATAAATAAAAGCTTCAGTTCGAGTGCAGCATGCCCGCCTCTCACACACAGGCTGGTTTTATTTGAGTCTTTGTGCGAGGGTCTGTGGAGCGAGACGGCGGCGCAGTGGTTCTCTATTAAAATTCCTCTCTCTTATTTGGGACAGGAACTAATTAGAACAGTAAATGCAGGGCGGAGCGAGGGCCAATGTGTACCAGCTGCCCCATAATCACTGTGTCAACACACCGTCAAGGTGTACGGCACACACAGGGTGCCAAACACACACACACTCAGCCAAATTCGCCCAGGCAGCATATATTGGAGGTATTACCAAATTGTTGCAATCATAGGCACATTTAGAGAAAGTACTTGACTGAGGAGACGCTAAAGGTTCTGGACGTGAGGACATTTGTGTGTCGAGGACACAAATGTGGCGTTATGGTTCTGATTAAAGATCCTGCCGAGAGTGAATAAGAAGCAGCACTTAGCTGTTTAGGACAGGGTTCAAAGGTCAGCTGGTCTCCTTGTATGGATCACTTTACACACAGGCGCATGCACGCACACATGCACACACAAGCCACTTTCATGTCATGTTTCATGCTTTACTGAAATTTAACAAGGCTGTCAGTCACGGCATCATCGGCATGGCCGTGAGAAACAGCAATCCACATGTAGCGTGCACACACACTTGGACGCACAATAATACACAAACATAGCTGCGCATCTGGCTCATACAATATATGATGACACAAGCGCACACGCTTTGATCGCTACAAGTTTTTACGATTCTGCTCTCCCTCTTTGCCAGAGTTTTTCATCTGCCTCAATATTCCAACTCACATCTTGTTCTTAAAAAAAAATGAAGAAAAACTCACTTGTTTCATCGTTTTTTTAATTTTATTAAATTTTTACGTTTTGAGTGTAGCTCAAAATAATCCAGGATTTATTGATGACATGAGAAATTTAGTTTATCAAATTATTTTCACAAACAGTATTGTTTGGGCCTCAAGTTAAAAACGCTCCTTTTTGCAAAAACATTCGCTCTAGTTTTTATTGTTTCTGTATTTTGTAGAACCACTGGCCAGATATATTTATATAATTGTACATACCTCTGTATGGATGCGTATATAAATCCAAAGTTACCTTTTTATGTCTGTTTTTTCTACTTTATCATTGGAAAACGGTTGACAATCAAGACCAAATAAATGTTATAATACAAAACGAGTAGCAAAAAATAAATATAAGTAAAGCCACATAATGGTGCAAAATTTAAATGTTCCCATTTGTGCGACGTGGAATGAATTTTCTGTAACAATGAGACAAAGCACCCTGCCTGAGTGAACTTTTAGGTGGCCACAGTGTCTGAATAAACCATTTGTGTCACCTGAGCCGCATAAATAGATGACCTTTGACCTGGTCGACCAGGTGACCAGTCTGGAACACTACCTGCCCGGCACAAGGACTCCCTGAAGGGATGGATACATCTACCTCGAGTAATTAGCACTAATTGAGGGAACAATATGCAGTTAAGTTTGACCAAAAGTTGAAATTATAACATTAGAATTAATTTTACTCAATAAATTTGTCAGATTATCATCCCATTGTTTCTTTTGGCTCGCTCAGCCTAAAACTTGGCACAAAAAATAAATAGGTTTAAACTGTTGTCTGGATTTATTTTTTCTGTGAAAAGAAAAGTGGAAACAAAAAAAGGAAAAGATAACCAAGCTGTATTTCTTGGAATAATTCAATCCAACAGGACATCCAGTACCAAGCGCTTGGTTGACCCACAGTTAAGTACATGCTCAATGAAGAATATGAAGAAAACTTAAAAATAATTTAACGCTTGATCCTGATGATTAATATATCTTTTTTTTGCTGCATTTACATTTTCTTAAATAATATTGTTTTAAGTTTTTTGTAGACAAATTGGGACATTTTAATTTTCTGAGTAGGGAAACAAAAACATTCATTTCATTTTTAGCTTTATAAATAAAATATTTGCAAATAATTTGAATAAGAAATGACGAAAACTGATTAAAAACATGCCAAGCTACAAAAAGAATCCGTGCTATACCATTTAATGTGTAATTTAAAGTAAAAAAAATATTTAAATGTGACGGTAATCTTTAAATCCAAAACTAAAAATCGTAAAGAAAACAACTTTTCTCCCATTTAAAAACATTTTCAATTCCAGTACGATGGAGAATATTAGAGCTGCGTGACGTCCCGAGCAGCGTGAAACATTCCCTCAGATCCGTTCTCACCTCAGAGTGTAATCAGGTCCGTTTGCAGCTTTAGACTTCCACAAAAGCACAACGGAGCGCCGACCCACCAGCTGCCCCTCAGACGCAGGCAGAAACACACAAACTCCTCGAACGCCTCGCTCCTCCGGCTACCTACACTCCAGGTGTTTCTTATTCAAAAGAAATAGTTTCTACCGTTTCCTCCTCCTCCTCCTCGCTGACCTTCCTTCTGCCACTTCTGCTCAAGCCTGAGGAGGCAAGAAAAAGGAGACCTTGGATGTAAACTGGTCCGTTTCTGAGGTCAATCCTCGCACAGCTGCTGTCTTCCCCGACCTCAGTAATGGGGGAACATTTCGCTCGTCTTGTTTCCCTCCTCCTCTCCCTCCACCCCCTTTTCCCCCTCTCCTCCTCCTCCTTTTTTCCTCAGCTGTCACTCATTACAGACTTACTCAAGCTTGCCTTAAAGTAAAAAAAAAAAACCTCTTAAATGTCAAAGTATCTACATTTCTACCTTCTTGCCAACAAAAAGATTTAACACAAACCTACAACTAGATTGTGTACAAAAACTGCGTGAGTGAGGGGTAACGCGCAGTAAAAAGTACAAGCTAGATCATAAACTTCACACCTTGCAGTTGACCCCCTCCCCTTCTCTGCACATGCTTACACACCCTCCCCCGTGTCACCCACACTGATCAGGGGCTCACACCTGAGCACACTTTCAATCTGCGTTAATTGGAAGCATACGGCAGCGCGCGTGTCTCGTGTGAGGTGCAGCTCCGCTGGAGGGACGGCTGGAAGTACAGCACAAACACCAAACCTTCCCAGCTGCCCCAGTCTGAAGATGGCACTCTTTCACTTTGGTCACCAAGGTGTTGTGAAGAGGAGTAAAGTGCCGAAACACAGTCCTGAACCACAGCAGGAGGAGTTTTTGACTCCTTTCCATAAAAATAACACCATTCTGATCAACTATTCAAACTGCAAGTCTGCTTGAATTGTCTCACAGCTGGATTATGTTATAGGATTTATGGAAAATGATTAAAGATTTTTTTTTTTTTTAAACATCCATGAGTCTCCTGGATGTAATGATGGCGAGGAGTTCAGTACTTTGTGAAACACTGAAAGGAAACAGTTCCGTTTCTGTGTTCTTAGTATTATAAGGCCTGATACCAGCCTCAAATATGCATACTCGTAAAAACACTGCAATACTTTGGACTAATACCACTTTTATGCTCAGTTACATCATTTACTCTTCCACTTCACAAGTAACTGAATGCAAAAAACAAAACAAAAAAAAACAGATATTTTCAGATAAACGCAGACAACATTAAAGCAGCACACTGTGTTCTTAAGAAAAGAAATGCGTTTCTAACGTCACTGCATAATGTTCAGGAGATAAATCATTAAATACTTGGAACTGATACTCTGTCTCAGCAAGTACCCATGGGAGAGTGGTGGCGCAGAGGCTAGAAAAGGCGAGCCTGTGATCAGAAGGTCGCCAATTCAAACCCCCGGACTGACAACATCAAAATGTGGGTGAGAAACATGAAGCACCCACACCTGCCTCCACCCTTGAAGCCCTTGAGCAAGGCTCTCAACCACCACCAACTGCTCCCCTGGGCACCCTAGGTGGCAGCTCCCTGCTCCACACAGAGGGCTGTGGTAGCTCGGTGGTTGTGTCAGGAAGGACATCCAGCGTAAAAACTAGGGATGGGGCCGATCCGATCCAGTATCAATATCGG